CTCAGTAAAGTAGATCCAGCTCAGTCTCAGTAAAGTAGATCCAGCTCAGCCTCAGTAAAGTAGATCCGGTGTCCTGGGCATCAATCAGTGCGCGCCTCAAATGTACTAATTGACACTTAGTATGTTATGCATTATATGTGTTGCTATAATGTCTTCCTATTCACATCATATGAGCCATAACTATTAAAAAAAAAAACACAAATGAGGCGAGTCCCATAAATCAAACCTTCCTTTTGACGGTGTGTTTAAAACTATAACATTTAACAAAGTTTTATCAAAAAAGGTTTTAGTTCTTATGTTTCTTTCATGTTACATATGCGTTTAATATCCTTTCTCAACTATATAATAAACTCTGTAAATACAGCACTGAAGTTATTTACTCGATTTCTGATTGAGATTAAACATGTTATTATAAAGTTAACCACAAGAGGGCAGAGTTTACATTACATTTCAGCTTGTTGACTTTGACCCAAAATACATTCTGTTGATGTATTTTATCATTATTTTTAATAGATGAGTTGAACAATGGGAAAATTATAACATTAACTGACCCATTTTTTATAAACAGTTGAAACCAAATATTTACATACACCAGATCAAAATATAACCTTCTATTTCTCATTATCTGACATTAAATCCGAACAAACCTTTTCTATTCTGGGTCAGTTAGGATTCCCAACGTTATTTCCATTTGCCAAAATTCCTGGGAAATGGGGTAAAGAATTGTTTAGAAAATTGTTTAATTACTTGTTTCAAAATCACATCTTTATGCACACAATTACTGTGCCGTTAAAATGATTGAAATTGCTTAGATGATGATGTAATAGTTTTAGAAGATTTTGACCCTTTAGTTATTTGGAGGCTCACCTTTGGATGCATTTTAGGGTCCGTTTTAAGCACAATGCTTTATTTGTTTGTGTGACATCATGGGAAAATGAAAAGAAATCAGCCAAGATATCGGAAAGATAATTGTCCACCTCTACAACTCTGGTTCATCCATGGGTTCAGTTTCTAGAGGCCTGAAGATCCCTCCGTTCATCGGTTCAAACAATTATACACAAGTATAACCACCATGGGAATGTCGTCATGCCGTACGGAGAGGATACAGGTTTCGTTGTCTCGATGATGTGCGTAAAACAAAAGCCAAAGACCTTCTGAAGATGAGAGCTGAAGCAGATAAGAGAGTATCATTATGTGAAACATCACCTGTTCATGGGCTGAAAGGCCACTCAGTGAGGAATAAGACATTACTTATAAGCAACATAAAAATAGATTACAATTTGCAAATGCACACGGGGATGAAGACTTTGATTTCTGAAGACATATTCTATGATCTAATAAAACTAAAATTAAACTATTTTTCCATACAGTTGGATTTGGTGGAATAAAAGGGAAGCTTGCACCATCCCAACTGTGAAGCATGGGGGTGGCAGTATCATTCTGTGGGGTTGTTTTGCTGCACGAGGAACTGGTGCACTTCACAAATACATGGCATCGTGAGGAATAAACCTTGTGTGAACATATGTTATATTTAAAACTAAAAGATGTATAAAATGTACCATTTCAAACCATTTCGAGGCAATTCGTTCACAGTTTGGGTTTAAGCACTAGTCATCTCCACGCTCAAGAGCCCATCTTTAAGAACTTTAAGATGAGCTCTTAACACAGAATGGTTTCCTAGTGCTGCTGTTAAAAACGCCATATAAGTCTAGTGATTCATTTACTGTGCATTAATGAGATAAGAGGCCATAAATCATGTTCCAAAGAGGAGAGCTGAAGAAGGGGCTCCTCTGCTGGGACCAAAGGAATGGAAGATGTTAATTGGTAGAAAAACAACCAAACACAGCAGAACATAAGCAGGTTATCTTCTTGTCTTGTCCATATAATGTGGATTTTTGACTCTGCTTTGCTTAGACAGTGTAAAATAATTCCTGAGGTTTGTATAGATTGTGCACTCTCTTGGTAGGGGGAGTGAAACAGGGGGTGTGATGGGGATCTAGAGTTTCCTGCGAGACATAGAAGGCCTCTCCCCTGGCGTATTAGAGCAGCATTAGTTTCAGGGATGAGAAATGATCCCGATGTGGTGTCTGCTTGGTTTTCCTTAAAGGAGTGTCTGCGGCAACAGCCAATCAACCCTAACCAGATCAGAAGATCGAGGCAGGAGATTTTGTTCTTGTAAGCAGAAATTAACACTTCATTCCCCTTTGTCAGCAGAAATTTAAGACTGCAGCCCTTGAAGGCTCTCCCAGGCAATGAAGAACAAAAATTCAATTATAGTGGAACAGCTCCGCACCAAAACACAATTAGCTCTTTTCTGCGAAAAAAAAATACAATAAAATTTCAACAGGCAGAGACTTACTGGTTAAGATGGCATCTATGAATTTGTTAAAATTAAAACGTTGTCTCAGTTCGTTAAGTATGTTGCGCAGAAGGCTCAGTTTATGATTAGTGTGAGCAAAAAATAAAAGAAAATTAATTGTTTTCTTGATCTCTTTCACAGAGTCACTGATCACATTTTTGCAAGGATTGTAAAGAGCTATATCTTCCATGGTGTAAATCCCAGATTTTAGAAAGTCCAACAAATCCCGTACAGGATTAAAATCAGATGAAAATGGTTTCCAGGAAATTACATGTGTAAATGGAGGCCTTTGTTGCCTTACCAGTGGGTGGCTGTGGCTAAGTGGCTAGAGCCGATGTCCTCCAATGCGAGAGTTGGGGGTTCAATTCCACCAACAGTCACATGCCCAAGTGTCCCTAAGACACTGAACCCCTCATTGCCTCCGATATGTGTCCCATCGGTGTATGAATATGATAAGAACTGATTCATCTTTGTAGAGATCTAGTAGAGTGCTGTATGAATGGGTAAATGAGGGCACAGATTGTAGTAAAGTGTTTTGAGTAGCTTGATAAGATAGAAAAGTGCTACATAAGTACAGTCCATTTACCATCATTAACTGTCCCATGTAATCACTCTTACTACGACCAGTCTGTGAGGAACAGCAAGAAGATATTCTCAAGGTTTGATTGATATGATATGGATATGATCCAGTGACGTGTCCTCAAAGAAGAGTCCTTGACTCAGATCCACTCCTTCCTTGTCTGAGTGGACGTTTCTATGACAAGCTCAGATATGGAGAGGAGGGATGAGCGCTGGGCTGGAGGATTTTTTATAAAATTAACTTTTCCATTCTAGGTAGTCAGAGCAGGTCAGCGTTTCAGGCATATGAGGACACTGATTAGAGTGTGATCTTGTAAGTGCATTAATGTTCTGTGAATGCTGGACTGCTCTCTGAAGCTGCATAAATAAATCTGATGAACTAAACCTTGGTCTGTTTAAAAATCTCCTTTTTTCCACAACACTCACTTCAACGATTACAGTAGTGGTGAATTTGTCAGGATTCCATGTCATGTATTCATTTTGTTTTCTGTCAATTAAGTATTTGCTTTGGGCCATTTTACAAGTAGCATAACTCGCTTGTGATTATGAGCCACATAACAACATCTGTGTTCCATGGTCATCCATCAGTTAAGGTTTTCTGTGTTATCCTCACGATCCAATGTAAAAAAATATATATATGTATTTTAAACACTGGAACAAGTTAGTTAAAAAACATCCCAGCATGGAATAACACACAACAATAAACTGGCTCAAAATTAGTAAATGTCTTCTACTAATAGTGCCTCATTCACACAATATGCCTTGAGATACATACAAACATACATATATGCATACACACACACATATATATATATATATATATATATA